GTGGCATACAGGCTTTTCTGAGAGGAGGATTTGATGATTAATATTTCAGTCTTGAAGTGAGTAATATAAAATGGTATAACTCCCCCCTCTTCCCTCACGCCATGCTTCTTTGTTGAGTGCAGCTTGACCACATTAGAGAGCTTGGTCCTGTTGCTGGATGAAAGAGCGCTGCTATCTTTCAAATTGGCAATTTTATACCACTTTCAATCTTCAAAAGCTCTTATTATACAGAAATTCTCTAATAATATTCATCAGACAGCTAGCTTTCCTTTTTTCTTAGTGTACCAGTGGATAATTTGCTAATGATCTTATTTTACTCTTCAGGAAGCAGAATTCTCTCAGTCTCCCCCAGAGCAAGGTGTGTAATAGCTGAAACTGTTGCCACAGTTCAGGAAATGAGTGATTCTGAGGTATAAAGAGGGTGATTTGGGAGAGCAAGTTTTTTTCATGTCAAGGGGAACTAGGTGTATAAAGTACTTACTTTCAAAATACCTGTGACTCTGTGTCTATTTTATTAGAGTGGGCTTCGGTTAGTAAAAAAAAAAATTGAAGTTTTTTCCAGTTGAAAAATGGGTAACAAAATACGGAAATAAGCAGACTGGCTGATTTCGGTTTAAGAAAAACGCACAGGAGAAAACCCGAATATTTGAAAACCAACTCATGTGCCATGCAAGTGTGTAATAATCAGTTACCCTGTTTTATGGCAATAGGGTATGTACAGTATTGCCATGAGTGTGTCCATGAATTACACAGGGTAGAGAGAGTCCCCATGTTCCTGGTGTTTTGTGGGCTCGTCAGTCTCACAGGTGTGTGTTCTCCAGCCACAGTGTTTCAAGAGCCGAAATCGCAAATCTTCTGCCAGGCAGAGGGTGGAAGCCCAGCCAGAGCAGGTGGTGCTGAAGTGCTACGGTACAGCTGTGTGGCTGCTCTCCAGCTTGGGGTGAAGTTTACTTCCAGCGACTGTCTTGGTATTACTTTCTGTTCCAAACCTGGCCACTTCTATCAGTGGGTGGCAGATTTGGTATGTGCAATTGTGCTGTTTATTTGAAAAGGAAAGAGAAAAACGGAGAAAATGCCACCTCCATGACAGTCAATGGGAGTTCTGCCATAAATTGGAGCAGGGCCAGGATTAGGCCATTTGCTCTGGACCATCACATGTATGATATTCTATTTAAAGAGTGGAACCTGCATACTCAGAATAAGTTGTCTGTTTTGTCTATTTGCTTAAGAATGTCATCACCTACTATTGAAAAAAATACATCCTTCCTTTCCTTGTACTTAAACATTTTGTTCAATTTTTTTCATAAGTGAAAGTATAAAGCCTTTCAATAACTTCCTTCTATAGAGTAATATTTCATTTTTCGTGCCTTTCTAGTACAGCATCAAACAGGACTTCATTAGTGCTGTTAATGTTCCATATAGCCCACTGATATACCATAGCCACTGGCCAAGCAAAACTTCAATCAGTTTTTCTTCTCTTGTCAGCTCACACCTCTGACTGAGCAGCTGCAAGATGATTCATCAGAGAATGTTTCACCATAGGATAGACAAAAATTATTTCTGGCTGGTTTTCCCATACTAATAAGATAATTTCAGTTGTAGATACTTTTGCAGCACTTCCTGAGCCATGCTATGCCCATTTGAAAATAGAAATCCTTTTATCCAAATGTCAAGAAAATTTTCCATGAAATCAGTGCTTTGGCTCGGCAAAGCACATTTCTGCTGCGTTTTCTTGTTCAACAAAGTTGCGACAGTTATGTTTTGTCCCATTATAGAGCAAGTCTCTACTAGAATTAATGATCAGCATTAGCTGGGAGATTTAGAACAAAATTCTGTGCATAAGGAACTGAAAAGTTAGTGGTGAAGAGAACTGGTTTGGATTTCTTTTTTTTGATGCAAAATCATGTAAGGAGTAATGGATTATTCAGCATCAGTGCAGAAATGGTGTTCTAATGCAATGGTTTCAGGCAAACAATCTGTCAAGAATAGGACATTTCTTAAAGACCAACAGAGTTTTCTGTCCACGCTTTTTATGATAGGCTTTCTTACATAACTCCACTCAACTTTGCATGCAGCCATAACAAAACCAGAAGAATGTATTTCTTTGTTTATTGGCATCTGTAAAAGCATTTCATCCCAAGTAATATTTTTTGTGATATAGGTTTGTCAGCTAGTTTGCAAATAAATACAGAAAAGCTGCTTTTGTTGTCAGTTTACCAATACTGGCGTGACATTCAAGGCTTGTTTTTCCTGAATAATCAGTGAGTGAGTTCATCAGAATGCACTCAGCCTGTGCCTGCAATACTGTGCTTATAATTATAAGGCTTATAGATTCACAAATAAATTGTTCTGAAGAGAGGAACACAGGGTTTTTTTCATTCATATCTGTTACTTTGACCTAAATCACACTCTTTTCTCCACCTCATCACCAATAAATACATTCCACTTTCCCAAAGAAGAAATATATGCCATCCAGCATCTTAACGAATGTTATTAAGTAACAAGTATTGAAGATTCATATCAAGTCTGAACCACAGCTCTTTTCTTTCAGCCTGAGTTTACATGCTTCATTGATGCTCTAGGGCTTGTAGCTTTGGCCAAGCCCAGCAAGTTATCTTGTACTGACCAGGTGATCCCAAGCATTTAGCACGGTCACTTAGGATTCTGTTCTGCCTGGCAAGCTGTCTACCAGGCTGCATATTCCCCAGTGGTAAGGGAACTTCTATATTGTAGTCCTTTCTTCTGTTTCTTTCCTTTTTCTTAAGTAATCCGTGGGTATGTGAGTGAGTAGCAGTAGATAAGGCACAGGCTGCAAACCAACCTTTTCTCACTACAGTAACATAATTTTCATTGATCTTCCTCTGATCTCTCAAACACCTCTGAGGTCTCACTGGCTCCTGGCTGCTCACAAGAAAAAGGCCAGAGTTTATACTGATTTAGAGAGAGACACACTGAACAGCAGAAGGTTGTAGGGGTTTGGCATTTCTCAATCCTGCAGCAGGACTACTTAGCTGATTATCCTGGAATTCATAGTGGAGTTGAAAATTCTGTGTTTTAAACCAATAGAGACTTATGACTTAATTTGTGGAACACAAAGTGGCCAGATATATGCTTGGTGCAGTATTCCAGCAGGAGTACTGGTAATTTTCATCATCATAAATACTGGTAATGTATACCAGGCGCACCCGGTCAGAGAGACTGTTGATAGAAAATCAGGCTGAGACGTGATAATGAAAATTTCTAATGAAATTTCATCAAGAACCTATAAAGCTTTTAAAAACCAATACGTTCATGATATGGTTGTACGGTTATTCCAAAGAGATGTTATTTGGCATGTAAATAAAATACCCAGAGCACATCCCACCTACCCTTTGGCATGTATAAGAAAAATGCAACTCAAAACCAAATGTGGGTGACTGAGCGATGCCTTATAGATTATGCAGGTGTCCCCCAAGTACTTAATTTTCTTACCTTCAAATGTGGAACAAAGTGTTTTCGATGGATAAGGAAGCCTTGGGTTTTTTAAAAGTTTGTGTTTGAATAGATTTCATAAGAGACTAGAGTGAGTCTGTCTTTATCTATGCACACATTAGTATTCTCAGAAAAGAGATTTGTTACTTATTGCAGCTCACAATTGATTTTCTTAGCCAGTTTGCACTTTCTCCTATGAAAGTAACAGATGACATAAATGGGAGCTAACAGGGACTGTGGGCAGAATTTTGCCATATTTTACATATATCTCAGTGGTCACAACACACCTCTTCTTCATATCCGCATCCCAGAGGAGACTAGACCAACTGCTGAGGTACTTTTAAGAGTTTGAGCCTTAATTTGTTATTGTAGTTTGGCCAGAATGGCCAGTACATTGAGGGTTTATTCATTATTCAAAGTCACGGCAGGGCGCGGGGAGGTCAGAGCTTTTTGTTTCGGAAGGCAGTTTGCGCATGTTGTGTCTCCCTCTGTGCCAGTTCCATAGGCACCTCTTCATCAACTTGCTGCTCAAATAGATATGCTACTCCTGGTGTAAAACACAGTGATAATGTGATGAATCTGATAAGAAAGGACACATTTTTATCCCTGTTTGACTCCATGCTCCTGATATTCCCTAACTGTTAACAACACTCATATTCTGGGACCTATTCCCTAATACGGCTTACGCAGTAACTGAAGGCACTGGAAATGAACATGTCACAAAGTTCTCTGCATCTCTGCTGAGTCCATGAGTTCAGTTGTCTGCAGAACGTGCTTTGGTGGATTTTGGATCTAGCGAGTACGTCCAGAAATCCATTCTATGGTGAGTTCTTACTGTAAAGTTTAGTCAGTGGAAGTTGTTCTTTTAAGAAACACACATCCCAAAGGAATTGTCAGGAGGAGGAGAATGTGTTGCATTTCATCTTTAGGGTCCAAGCATTTGTTTGGAATCCCAGCTGCTCTTTTTGATGGTGAGAGAGGAGACTGCAGTTAGTTATGCTGAGAGTCAGAGGTGCTGGTGTAAGTCAGCCGGAACTCCATGAGATAGAGAAGCCCTGCTAACCTAAAATCGGTGTCACCAAAAGCATAAGCAAGGACCAGAGTGAGTATTTAATATTTTGATATGCCCCTAGAAACAATCTTTGTTTATCAGGCAGCCTGCACTACTCAAAGGGTTAACACCTTGTTGTTTGAACTGGGATCCAGTTCCTTTCTTCATACTGTGGGCAACTTGCACAGATGTCAGATTACTTATATGTATTGTGACAAAATGAGTTGCTAGTATGTAAAGAGTAAATTGGGATTAGCAGAAGTGCCACTGTTAGCAGGGCCAACACTGTTAGCAAAAGTCCTTTTTCAGAAATGATTCAAAACTTTTTCTCTGGATAAATCTGGAAATTCAAGTGTTGGTAATCAAAATACTTCTGTGAAACCCAGAAATACCAGAGACCTTGTTCTTTCATCAGATGAATATAGCAATTTCCTCTGTGTGAATTTTTCCCTTCTTTTTTGTTGTTCTTACTAAACAGACATTGATGAATGCTCAGATGGCTTTGTTCAGTGCGACAGCCGCGCTAACTGCATTAACCTGCCTGGTTGGTACCACTGCGAATGCAGAGACGGCTACCATGACAATGGGATGTTTTCACCACGTGGAGAATCCTGTGAAGGTCAGTACCTAAAAAAGGTGGGGTAGTGGTATGACTTGCCTTGCAGTAATGTCTAGTATCTCTGACAGTACTGGTCACGTATTGTCTTGGACACTGTATCAATGGAAGTTAAACTTGACCCAAAGCAATCGTAGTCTAAATAAGCATCATAAACAAAAGGCAAAAGAAAATAAAGTACGAATGTTCCTAACATATAGGTGGAGCATTAGTGGCCGTTGCTATGATTTGCTAAGATACTATGTAAAGTCAGGCATGGTGCTTAAAACGCAGTTTCTCTGGCCCTACACCTGCTTCTGTGCACGGTCCTTGCATAAGTGATTTCCCGCGGGCTGCTAGCATGCACTGTAATCTGTCATTCCATAGTAATCTGTTTATACGTCAGATTCTTCATATGTAGAAATGGGCCTCAATCCACACCTCAATTTCTCCACTTCATTCCTCGTACACTGAAATAGTCTGTGATGAAAATATTTCCCATTGCAAAGAATGCCCTTACCCACACCTGGGTTAATACTGCGGTGCTTCTCCTGTGCATAGGCTAACTGCTCATAGAAAGTTGCAATTCGAAGAACAACCTTACAAACTGGGAAGCTCAGTGGTTAGGGCTGGGGCAAGGTGCAGGGGACAAGAGAGCGACAGGGGGGACAAGGAGATGGGAAGGGTTTTTTTGTTTATGAATGATGTTAGAGAGAACAGCAGGTTAGTAAGAAAACAGTTATTTTCAGATGCAGGTCTCTTAGTATGGGATGTTATTCAGCTCTTAAGATATTGCATGCTGCTGCTCTTAAATAAGAGAAGAAACCAGTCTGTTTTGCCATGGACTGCTTAGGGCAAAATTAGGAGAAGGGAGAACCCTTCTGTCTCTGAGTGCTGAAATATTCAGTGCTTACACAGTGTAAGCTTTCCTACCTTGCTGTTTAAACTCACATTGGTGGGCTGCATCAGTCCCAAAGGGAAGCAATTGAATTAATTTCACTAAGGCAGACACACAGAGAGTTCTCCAGGAGCGAGAATGACCTTTTCGGTATCCCCATCATCAATACTTTATTTCAACACATTTTCACCATTGCTGAAAGCCTGTGTTCCCAAGAGGAATCAGCAATTTGAGTCAGCCACTGCTTTCATAAGTTGAGCTTTCTTTGTCAAGAACTAACTAAATGTCAGTGTTAGCTGGCCAGGTGTTAGGACAAGAAGGTGCAAGGAAGAAGTTGTGATCCCTCTGATTATAACGTTGCCCTTCTGTCACTCGCGGCACAGGTAATACACTAGCCAGGCATTTATGGAAATATTCTCAATACGCCAAGTTTTATCTTCAATGTCAATATAACATTTGTCTTGTGGGTAGAAGATAGTGGTTTGGCACATGCTATCTCAAGAGATATAAGTGGTACAAAGTGACTCTGTTAAGATGTGTGCAAACAAGCAACAATTAAGCAGCAATTTCTAAGCAAATGAAAAGCCAAGGAAAAAGGAATATGGGGATTGCTACATGTATGCAGAAGTGTCAATTATTAGCACGTTTTGACCTTTTCTACAAAGCGCCAGCAGCTCTTTATTAAACATACACAGAGGATAACAAGTAATTAGAATTATATCACAGATGACAGGAAACTATCTTCATTGCTGATAACCCTAGTCGCTAACAGTGGAACACTTTCAGTTTGATTGATTGCAGCTCCAAATTTTGGAATACATAGCAACTTGAGATGGGGAGAAAGGTTAGATATTTTATTAGTCTTACTACATCACTTTTTATTGCACTGAAGCCTGTGACATTGTGTCTCAGACAGAAAATAAAACCTGAAAAAGGTATGAAGAGACAGCTTAAAGTCCATTGCGGTATGGAAAGTTAAACTTACAGTAGCAGAGCGCGGTAGCGCAAAAGCAATTGGTTTCTCAGCTGTCAGATCTTTCCAGTGTGAGAGATTCCCCTCCTGGGTTTAAAGACATAAGAAAATGGATTTCTTTTGTCACTTCTTCAGTATCCCCTAGTTAGAGGTAATTAGATTGAGCTGTTGGTGGATGGTCTTTCAGACACTTACTGTAATGGGGGAGCAGCTTCCAGGCTATACTAATCTCAGATTTCAAATCTCAGTTCTCCACTTCCCACCTGCAGCTGTATGAGCTTCTTGCTGCATCCGGGACCAGTGTCCTCTGAACCTTTCTGGCTTGTGCAAGTGCTTCAGCTTGTAGAACTGTAGAAGGAACAGTGGTGAATTACACCGAAGAGAAACTGGGCTTGCCTTGATTTCTTTCTTGGGGGAGCAAAGAATTTAAACTTCATGGGGATTAGGAAATGTTCTTTGAGGGTTTGTCCATTTTGCTATCTAAGAGGACTACTTCAAAGTAGTGTTTATATGGAGTGCATAATAGGCTTGTCTTTGGCTCATCTTTTGAAAGTTTTAGTTGCTTTGAAGAAAGTTCCCTCTTTCAGTGGAGAAAACCTTTAAAAGCCAAGGAAGTGTGGGTTCAAATCTTTTCTTTCTTGATTGTTCTATATGGTCTGCCTCAAATCTGGGTCTGTCTGTGTCCCCTGGACATGTGCTGATAGTACTACAGAAAGCATTTCTGTGATCAGTGTTAGTCAGAAACTTGTTCCCTTCAGCAAAGGCTCCAGTTTTAAAGATTCAGGTGCAAACACCTCTGTTAAGATCACAGAAGCACAGGAGTATTTCCTTAAAAACCTTATTTTAACAGAATACCAAAACTGCACCTACCTCTTTTACAGGAAATGGTCCCATTAGGACATCGTACTAAAAATTCCTAGCTAGAGGTGGACTCCTTGGTGGCATTAGACTTTGTCAGTGCTTGATAACGAAATAATAGTTGCTAAATTGCCTGTTTTACACATATATTGACCTTGGCTACTGCTGCTTCTTTGGCACGACTGAGAATATTGAGTATTTTGACTAATGTACTCAAATGCAGAAATTCATAATCCCATTTTATTGTACCTACAGGCAATGGAAGACCTAGAGATTCCTTTGCTATTAGTTTTGCTTCACATTATACTCCTCTGGGTAGACCTGTGGTCTCTGTAACAATTACTGAGAGAAACGATGGGAAATGCAGCTGTAGGGTTTCAACCTCTTAGCAGCACTTGCTGCTTTTCCCTTGGAAATAGAATTATGTTATGCATCATCTTATTTCCAGAAAAGTGGTGAAAGATCAGCCGCTTAGTCTTTGAGAACTGCATGGGTTTGGGAAGTCTTAAATTTTATATATGTGTAAATATAGCATTCAGCATGGTATATTACCTGGTACCTTTGTCTTTGCCCCCCTATGTTTTTTCTTTATAGTTTCTTTACACAGTCTTATTGGTGCTCTGAAGGTTGTCTCTCATGTGCCACTTCATAAAAGGGAGCTGGGCTAAGACAGGAGGTATTGCAGCCTCAAGCTTCATTGCGTTAAAAAACTGGAACCACTGAGGGCAAAATCCTAAAATAAGAATGTTCAGGCCTAGTTAATATTTGCTCTGCAGTTCTGTGTAAGATCCTGATTCCTTTGAATTTGTCCCCTGCAATGTCTAAAAGCTTCCAAAATCAGTTGAAGAGAGAAGCTGTATTGGTTTGCACCAGCATAGTGCAGGTTATACCTCATCAGCTATTGGACATTTTGCACACTTCCACGTCCGAAGAATAGCTCACGTAATTAATGCAGCCCCTTAGGACTTACCAAGAGTATCTGGCAGGTACCAGCTGTTGTTGCTATAGAATATAAGATGAACATACCTTCACTCTCAGCAGGTACCACATTCTTTAAATGAGACAGGTGCAAATGAAAGGATTGGGAAGCATCAATCTAGAATGCCCAATTCAAAAAGGATCTTTTTGGTTGCAAGGGTTTGTTTGTATGTGTATCTTCTGAAATGTTGTTATGTTCTTCTTCTGCCGTCCTGCGTGCAGAAGTAGAATCGCTTCCTTCTCTGTGTGATAGAGCAGGCTGCCTGACAGCACAGAGGGCTGGGGCTCTACTTGAACAATATTTTCCACAATCCAGGATAATGAGGGATGGGGGCGTATTACAAGCCTCAGGATGCTCCCCAGCCTTAATGAATGAACAAAGTCCAAAATGGTCACTTCAGCATCCATGTCTCTGGATCTGGAAGGCAGAGGAATTGCTGACTGTCAGGATGTCTGAATTTATCTCACAGTACATCCGGTATTTTAACTAGTGCATGAAATTTCTTGCAGTTGAAAAACTGCTGTCAGTTCGCAGTCCTACACTTAGCTCTTTCTACAGTGCTGGTAATGTTTAGCAGAAGCTGTGTTATTGATAGCACTTAAGGAGACAGGAAATAATCACTACGTTCAGCAGGAAAACTTACTAACACTCACAAAGCTCCATCGAAATCCTTTCGCCTTTATTCGTGATTATAAAAGGTCAACAGATAAAACCATAAACTGACTTTTCTTCCATCCATCCCAAAGAGAGCTACCGGCATTAAGGCTTCATTATTGAGTTTGGGAATGCAACTTAAACATCACCAGACAGAAGGCAGATATAGAGACACGTTAGTATTTAAATATTCTGGAGTGTGGGCAGAGTACAAAATTGGCAGAGTTTCTCATCTTTTATAAAAGGACTAATACAACAGAAACTCGACCACTACATTTATAAGACAGTAATTTGGACACATTTTCTGTGTCAGGAAACAACATTTCTGTGAAGCTGGTGTTACCAGCATCTGAAGTCTCAGCTCTTCATCTTCCACATCTGCTAAGCACTCTGACAGCTGGCTTGCATGAAGTCACGAATAAATTATTCACAATTCACTTGCTCTTTGAAGAATGATTACATCAGTCAGTAGATTTACTTAGGACAGAGAAGAACAGAAGCCAAACTTTCTGCTCAGAAGAGCTTGGGCTCTCTATCGAATGCACTCCTTCCTGTGTTGCCTTAAGCAAAAAGTATTCAGGTATCCTCATGTTGTCCCCTTGCTGAGCTAATGCTACTCCCCAGAGCTAAAGTAACTGAGAAACTTCAGTTGCTTCAGAGCAAAGGAACTGTCCACCCTCCCAACCCATCTCTTCCAACAGCATATTTCTCAATGATAGAGATGTTCATCTTTTCTTTATATAGATGACACTCTAACTGATATCAGAATGATTCTGTTCGGAAACCATGTCCAGGGGAGATCTTTTTTGGCTTTATGTGAACGTCCTGCACTTAAGTCTGGATAGCTCATCAGAGGAGGGAAAGTTGCAACTTTCCAGCAGCTATATCAGAATGCATCTCTGAGCCCTTTGTCACTACCTAGCAAGGAGTACACAGGTTATTTTCTAATTGTGCCTTGTTCATGTTCCTTTTGAGTTTATTGTGAGTTTTCTCATCTGTCATTATCAATATTGTATTTGTGGTTTTTTGCCCAAAATATTATTGAGCTGTCATTACTTAGAGCTATCCACAGTAGCCTCAAGATCTCTTTCCAGAACAGATCCAGAAGACTGATTTGATTTTTGAATGGGTATTTCCCCATGCACCTTACAATTGAATCTCATCTGACATATTATTGTTTACTCAGTCAATATCATGAAATACTTCTATATTTCACTGTCAATTTTTTGTTTTTAATACTTTCTTATCAACAGCTGTTGATCCATTCCTCCAGATGACTAAGTATATTGGGCAGCACATGTTCTGGCAGAGATTCTTGGGGGACTTCCCTGGGACAACTCTCCATTGTGACAGCCTGACCATTTATTCCTGCCTTTTATTACTTACTAATTAACCTGCTATTAATCTGTGAGTCAACGACCTCTTTTATTGCATGGCACTATGTGTGTGGAACATTACACATTAAGAGTGTGTATTGTGCAAAGCAGCTCATGAAGTTTTCAAATAAAAATAGTACATTATATGAATGTGTCCCCCCCTTTAAAGTCTTTTTCATTAATATCGTATATGTTTACTCTGAATCTATAATATAGTATCTTTAAATAATCTTCTTTCTGTCTGAAAACATTTTATCCATTTGGCCACTAGTTTTAATTAATCTTTAAAACTAATTTTAACATAATTCCCCCTTTGAAAATAAAAGCACTACCACAGAGATTTTTTGCAGCCTTTTAAATTCCTTTGAGAATGTTGAACTTGCGTACATCGTGGTCACTGTTGGTAACCAGTACAGAGTAGCTGTTCAGTAGAGACATTTTGAATCGGAGCCCTGCACACTGCTCAGGGCCAAGTCAAATGGTGCTTTGTCCCTTTGGGATTCTTTGACTATCTGTTCCAAGAAACAGTCAGTAAATCTGTTAAATACAGCCTTGGGTCACAACCTGGTGGGGCAATTGAAATTCTGGAGTTTTCTGCCCTTGCAGTCTGTCAAATATTACAAATGGAGTTTAGTCATTCCAGGTACTGTCACCATTTTGTATAGCTTTAGTCCAGTATTTTTCCTGTGTAGGCACGAAATTACTTGTGATACAATTAACTCCTAGCTTTCTTTAACATGTATCACTACTTCTTCATCCATGGTACTCCTTTGTCATTGCAACATTAAGTTGTACCCAGGGATGATGGTAAGAAAAGGAAAATCCTTGAAGATGTGCCAGATCAAAGCTGCTGCAATTTTTAGTGTCGATTAGATAAATAAGAACTGGTCCTCAATTTAGCACTAGATAACTAGTTACACTTTGTTTCTGTTTTTTTCTGAGGCAGACCTCCGTGTGTTTTGAGACTTAACGTTCTGATGTCATAACATTCAAGCTGCTTGATTCCTAAGCAGTGTGTTGTAAATACCCTGAAGTGAATTACTTGTTGGGGTTTTTTTGTTGTTGTTGTTTGTTTGTTTCTTTATTTGTTTTTAAAAACAATATGGGAGAGATAATAACATGCCTCTGTGGCTGGATATACTGGAAATATGCAACCTGTAATCCTCCCCTCTCCCTTTTTCAGACACAAAAGACGCAGGGGCCAGTGTACCCTGTCCGTATGGTTATGGAAACTGGAGAGCTGGTTATGGCTGTAGACAAAATTTCAGTAACATAATTCACCATCCATTATAAATCCAAAGTAAAAAAGCTGAAGTTTTGCTTGGTATGGATGATTTGTGTGCAAGTTCTTTGTAGATAATGCCTGAAGTCTGATGTGGATGAATAATGCAGATGAGAATTTCATGCATGCAAGGTTTGTGTTTCTCTTGCTGCGTTATAAACACACTGCTGTTTCTGATTAGGTTAGAATCGAAATCTAAATAGCTCCTGCTTTGACCAGGGATATTTAAATTGCCCTATGCAGAATATTTATTTTCATGAATCAAACAACTGAAAAAAAACAAGGTTGGGATTTTTTATAAGTTCTCAGTGTTGGATGAGCTCGGCCCAATACCAGAGTCAATGATGAAACCTCAATTATTTTCAGTAACAGTGCACTAACCGTTACCATGTTGAAAAACAACAGAAGCGTTTTCCTCACGGGAAAATTGTGAAATACACTTGTACATAAGTGCCAAATGCAGACTTCGTGTTTATAGGGTCACTATTTGTTGTTTAAAGGAAACTGTTCTTATTAACATGACAGCTGAACTTCGTCCAAGTGTCTCATTAAATATGGCTGCTTTCAGTTAAGTGGCCAGGTTGTTGAGAAGTGATATTATTCATTTATGACACTAGCTACGTGAAAGCTTTGTACAAAAGAGTGTTTTAAACAAATGAACACAAGTGTCGGAAAGTCTTTTATTAAAAATTACTTCAATGATAAAGAGAATCCTGCTGTTAATCTTAATCATCATGTTTAAATAGGATTTGTGTTTGTTCTCTTTATTGCATAACTTAAAACCAGTTAGACTGAGTATATGGAGATCTTAATTTTAAATTGCCAGACTGTATTACTTTCAGTATGGATTTAAGACAAAACAGAGGAAGGAGAGAGCAGCTCTTCCATCCCTCTGCTCTGC